AAAAAAAAAAACAAAAAATGAAGAGCGTTTATGAAATTTATGAGGTGCCATAAAAAATAAAAAAAATATATATATATTTAAGAATGAAGCTTCATAAATCCATCTGTATAGTGTCGATCACTTCATTCAAAATAAATAAATAAGAGCTAACCTAACTAGGCGGCAAGGCCCACACAAGCTGAGCCTAAACCCCTCAGGCTAAAATATAATACTCCATGCGGGCCTTCATAACCTTAAAAAAATATATACACATATATACATATAACGCCGCCCAGTTAAATTAAACAAAACCGTCAGCCCAACAACTCCTTAAGCGAATAATATTGTTGACTTTGTCACGCGCTGATGAAAATGTCATCCATTAACTGGCCTTTGTCTTGTCCTTTTCTTCTGAATCAGACGCATCTTGGACGTCCCTTATCTTTTTTTTTTTTTCTTTTTTTTTTTTTTAAAAAACTAACACATTAATGACTTGAAAATTTGTACAGATGTTGACTCCACCGACTGAAAGATTTCAGAAAATTCAAAAGGAAGCTCCTGTGGATCAGACTGAGAGAGCAAAGTTAGGCTCTATCTAGAGCTCATTTTCATCAACTGGTGGTACCGCCAATCCTTGTGGGACCGGGACGTCAACAACCACATATTTTTTTGAAATTATAAATTAGTTTCTTAAATTTTAGTATATTACTAAATACCCCTAAAAATGATAAGTTAATCCCTGAAAATTTAATAAATTTAAAAGTGCCCAAAAAAATTAGTCCCTAAGGTTTTGAAATACTGCAAAAAATCTCTAAAAAATTATGTTAACCCCTACAGGTTTAAAATATAACAAAATCCTCCTAGAACCTAAACCGGACCAAAGATGCTACTGATTCCCAGTCTAATCAGTAGTTTTTTGTGGTAAACCACGTTTGGCCTAGTTTTCGGTTTATTTGGGCCTATTGAGAAAGAGTGTTGTTATTTGAGTCCACCTAAAGTCCAATTAAGCTCCATTATTAATTTTATAAAGTTTAAAATTATATTGTATATGCAAAATTACCAAAATATATTATTGATATAAATAACTCTTAAAAAGTTTATCCAGTTTTTGAAACCTTTTAACATGGTAGAATTCTAAGATAAGAATCTATTTATTTTAAACATTCAGTAAACTTTATATAATTTTACANATGAATAAATTAAAAAGAAGAAGAAAAGAACATAGGCTTTAAATTAGAAATAAACTTAACAAATAAGAGAAAAAGATCTAAAAATTTATAAATGTCAATAAATAGACTGCTCTAGCAATTATGACTGATCTCACCCATAAATACTCCAAACAAGAAATTCATGTATTTAACAACATTCTCGTAAATTTACTTTAATGATATTCCCACATATATGCAACTATTCATGTATACATAAACTAATAATAGTAATAATAAATTATAAATCATGTGAATGAAAATATAGATAATTCAACATGTACGCTTCAAACATTATAAAAATCAGTAAGATGATTTATTTTATATTCCCACTATTACATACATTATTTCTCATCATGAGAATAATTGAAATATGAAAAATATCACATCTGATTTCCATAATTAATTCAATAAATTAATAAAATATATATTTTTTTTAAAGTAAACTGATAGGATTTGAGATAGATTTGACTCTTACCTAATAAGGTTTTGTTGAATGAGAGAATTACTCCTTCTTATAAGCTAATAGACTTGAACGTGTCTAATCGATGTGAAACTCCAACATAAACTAGTCACAGCAACTCAGCAAAGTGATGAAGAATGCAACAGTTGTGAAAGAGAAGAAGAAAAGCTTTTGCGAAGCTGTTAAGTTCGGTAAACTCCTAATGCAAACAGAACTTTGTTAATATTAACAGAAGCTGAAGTTGAGCATTACGCAGAGTTTTAATCTTTGCTATATTGCTGCTGTTCAACAGAGAAGAGAAGAAGCTGAAGCATAGCTAAAATAGCATTTTTGATCCTCAAATTTTGTGTTTTCTGCTGTCGTTCCAGTTGAAGTGTTTGTTGACCTAGCACATCCTGCGGATTGCCAGCATGTCAACTACACCTTGTGTATAAACAAATGAACTTCATTCTTCTGATTAATGAAAATTAATTAGTTACAAAATTCTTGGAATTCTGTTCTTCTTGAAGCCTTTTTCTCTCAATCTCTTTAAATATGAAAAATAAAGAAAGCAATAAGACAATCACACGCACATAACAACACCAAATTTACGTGGTTCGGCAAATCATGCCTACATCCACGGGCTGTGAGTCAAATGACTAAAATAGAGAATAATAGTACAAGTCTAATAGACTCATGTTAAATCTAAACCCACAACCGTTCTCTCATATTTTTTTTCTAACTCTCCCACTTAATGCACTCAAATCCCAGAAAGTGAAAATTTTCTCAATAGTCTTTGGCTCTAATTAATTAAACAAGAACTCAAAACTCAAAACGCTCACTCTTCACCTATACATTTTCTTAACATCACCATTCACTGGCCTAGATATAATCAAAGAAGAAGAGGAGATGAACATATTAATTTCTTTGGATGCAGAAACCGTCTCAATTTCGGTGCTTAAATTGCTGCCCTGCCACTACACTTTTTCAGCCTTCACATTCCTTATCATCACAATAAGTTCACAATACCATGGTGAATGAATGGATCCAGAGGTTTGTGCCCTTTATCCGTCTTCATATTTTTGTATCATTTCAAGGGAATATAGGCTTCCCATCCTTCTCTTGCAACAAACTGTGAATTATTAAAGGATAGACATCAATATCCGGGTTTCAACTGGGCAAAGCAACAACCAAAGACGGAAATTTAAGAACATTTCAGCAAGAAATTACTTAAGAGGTGAAACTGTGCAGATCATTTGATAAGGACTTGAGATTATCATATCAAGCAAGCCTTCTCTGGCAAAAGATTCAAGCAAAGAACCCTTCTTGATGATCTTTCAAGAGACGGAATATTGGAGAATTTTGCACTCCTTGATCCTGCAGAAATGCATTGACCTTTTCGTCTCAAAACGCACAAGAATTTCTTATCCAATTGGAAAGCTCATACTAGCATAGGAACTGAGATCTCAAAAGTACTGCAAAACATTTTCTGATCAACACTGCTTCGATCACTCCATTCATAGGATTCACCTGGATATTATTATAAAAAAAATTATGTAGCAATGCTCTCCCAGAAAAAAAGGTAATGATTTTGGGAAAACATAAACAGAGAAAGAATATCTTAGATGCTTATATTAAGCGAGTTGTTCTACCTCAACAAGGAGATGTAGAGCTCCATTACTTGGTTTGCTGACATTATTTCTTCTTTTAACAAATGAAATAAGATAACAAAAACAGTGACAACTCATGAAAACTGACAAATAGCATGCAATGAAGGAAAAATTAAATCTCTTTTTTATATATAAGGAATTTAAAAAACAAATAAATAATGACGTAGAAGTTGTAGACTATCAACCTTTTTACATGGATACTGAACTCTTTTGAAAAACAGTAATTTTACTGGCTTCCAACCTTCCAATTGTTTGCAGATAGTCACTTTCTGTACAAAGCAGTCACCAAGAAAGCTATAATACAACGTTAAACTATTAAAAATTTCTGTCAAATTAAAATTGTAAAATCATAATGGAAAAGAAGTCGTTTCATACATTACACATTTGTAGACAGAAGAATCCACTATCATCTTCCTCTTTACTAAAAGATGATCCTGTGAATCAAAGACAAAGATGATCTGGGATTACACTTTAGTAAAAGACAAAGAATTTCAAATCCAAGTGGATATCACACCTAATAGGAATGGATACAAGCGTACTACAACATTTTTAGATCAGAAAAATGCTTTATCACTCCATTCATAGGAAATATCACCTTGAACATATATATAACAAATCATGTATAAATGTGTGTCCAAGAAAAAAGGCAATGATTTTAGAGAACGTAAAACATAGTGGAGGAAAGACTGTTCACATGCTTTACAAGCGAGTTGTAGTGCCTCGGCAACGATATGTTGAATGTCATTACTTGGTTTTACACTAATTGTTCTTCTTTGAAAAATGAATAAAGATGCTAGAGTAACCAAATTTAAGAAAGGTCTTATTGGAAGCTTGAAATAACAAAATTTAAGACTAAAAAGTAAATAATGAAGGATTACGACTTTTTTCATGGATTCGGCCTCTTTTCATAAAACATAATTTACTGGTTCGAGCCTTCCAATCAATGGCAGAGACTTTAGTTATAGAGCGCGGCAACAAAGCAATAATACAATGTTAATCTACTATCTAAAGTTGTCAGATCAAAATGTTAAAATCTAGCGGCAAAGTTATTTCTACATACACATATGTAGACAGAAGAATCCATTATCACCATCCTCTTTATTTATACCAGATGAACTACCTTAAAGGCTAAGTCAGTCTGTGCTGATGAGGGCAACTTGATCCTGTGAATCAAAGATGATCTAGGATTACCATTTACTAGGACTTTAAATATAAAAAGTATGTCAAATATGCTTACGTGCAACTGGATAAGGAAAATTGTATGGCATTGCAATCGCAGTCTGATTCATCCACCTCAACAAGTATCTCAAATCTGGCAACCATAGATGTGGAAGGAAACTTGGCAGATATTATATAAACAATAATGAAAATATGGGAATTTGGTGTGAAGACTTTCTTTTGGTTACCTTTCACCCAAAGAGTTGAAAGAAACCGATGACTTCAGAAAGATTCTGTATTCTTGTATCAAATTGTCTTACTCCACTCTTGGATTGAATCTGTAGAACAACGAAATGGGATATATCAACACCATATTTATGATTATAATATGGAAAACCATTCACATGTTTGAAACGACAAACCTAAAATTGGAATGAGATGATTCTGTATTGGTTCTTCATTTGGGATTTTAAAAGGCTAGATTCAAATTATATCTCTGAGTGGTAAAATTTGACTCCTCGTAGGGTAGAAGCTTAACTATCTGAAACCACAGAAAGATGAGGAAAATAATTCAAATTATATCTCTAATATCAGAGCTCACACAAGAGAAATCATAATTAGATCACCCACAGAGTATCAAAGTGAAGAATATACATGATTAAATCTAGTGAAAAGTTATAATAAAGACAAGTGACAGACAAATTGCAGTACAAGGTGTTAAAAAAACAAGTCAATTAAAGTTAACGAAAAAAAACAATTTTAGGAAATTTGAAGTTAAGCGGAAGATAAAAGAAATAAGTGTAAGGAAAATGACCAACTGGGTTGAAGTAAGATGATTTAGATTGGATGTTGGGAAATCAAAAACTATGCCCATTCTTGCTCCTCTTCCTCCTTTGAATTGAAGATTAAGTTTCCATCTATGCGAACTTAGGGATGTGAGCAATCTTTGAGCAGTATTTCCTCTACCCTTTTCCACCGTCTTTTTAACAATGGACAATGGTAATAAACTTAAATCCAGAAGTGAGGGTGGCATGCTTTGCAATGATTTGAGCTTTGGGCATTCATTAATGGACAAAGATTCAAGAGAGTGAGGCTTCCGATCTGGAATGGATTTGAGCTTTGGGCATCATCAATGGACAAAGATCAAGAGAGGTGAGGCTTCCCAGATCTGGAATGGATTTGAGCTTTGGGCATTCATCAATGGACAAAGATTCAAGAGAGGTGAGGCTTCCCAATCTAGAATGTGATCAAGGTTTTCGCAATTCTCAATCTCCAAACTATCAAGGGAGGCGAGGCTTCCCAAGTCTGGAATGGATTCAAGGTTTGGGCAACCATTGATCTCCAAACTTTCAGAGAGATGAGGCAACTCAAGTTGAAGGTTTTAGCTCTCGAAAATTGTAATTGCCAGCGATTTAAGAGAGGTGAGGCTCTTGAAGACACAAGTAGATAGAGAAGTTAAGAGAGGAGGTCGTTCCCATGCTCCTTGAGAAATTGGCCCTGAATCATCACATCCAGTAATACGAAGTGTCTAAGAGAGGTGAGGTTGTGCAATCCCCCCTCTATTAGGACTTACAGATTTTGGAACCTTCCTGAACATAGAGCTCTGTTAGGTTGGTTGGAACACCTTCTTCTGCAAACAATATTGGACAATTCCTTACATATAAGTTTTGGAGAGAGTTTGGAAATTTGAAGGATATTTTCATATTAGCAAGAGGATATGGCAATACTCTGAAGACATGTAAGATTGTGTAGGTCTGAAGGTACCGATTTAAGTTGATCACACAGCGAGAAACGTAATCTCTTTGAGGACACTGCTATTTCAAATGTCTCTATTATTGACTCTAGCTTTGAACAAGAGAAAATATAGAGGCCTTTAAGTGCTTAGGAAAACACTGCTGTCTAGATGATAGCGTTGTGAGCTCTGACATTTCAATCAAAAGTTTTTGAGTGGTCAGGCAAAACAACCTGATGATTGCACGTGAGAGAGGATAGGCATGAATGCCCAAGTACTCCAAACGAGTAGTACTCAAATCCTCCAAATGTTAATTGCTTACAATTTCAATCTCAATTTTCTCAAATATAAAGGTAGTATACCTCCTTCAAAGACTGTAGAGAATCACAATCTTTAATTACAAGCCTTTCTAGATTTTTTTGCTTCAATCCTTCATGCAAAGATTTTAGAGCCTCCCAATTACTAATCGTCAAAGAATCAGATGGGAAGAAAATCGATCTCTGGAAACAAAACAAGACTTGTACAGTTTACAAAAGACAACTCTTTAAGGGATGTAAGGCTATGATACCATGAAGTGGCTTACCAACACAAACTCAAATTTGCCACGAATTTGTGAGCTCTTCACAGCCAAAATCTTTGAAATTTTTGAAATCCTTGCTTTATCCAATTTCCAAACTTTGGAGTACTTGAAGGAGCCATAGGATTAAAGACGGAATTCTGTAGATAGTACTACGACACACCACTTCCTTGCACGTCAATTATTCTATTTGCATAGCGATGGAACACTTGAAATTGAAGCCTTCAACTCTGAACACTTTGAATAAAAAGCCTTTCCAATGAAGGAAGACTATTAGGTAATTCTCCAGCAAGTTTTGGACATTCCACAATGGAAAGCTCTCGGAGAAGAGGGAATATTTCAAAACATCGTCATTCTATCTTAGTGTTCCAAAACCACCATTCTTGCAAATTTTCAAAACGAAGAACCTCTAATGGACTTGAAAGGCATCTCAAAATCTATTTTTTCTAGTTTCCCCATCCCTTGAATGGCCAGGTCTTTAAGTGAGCTCAACATCCAGATTGAAGGCAAACCTTGCACGGTTCTTAAATTTTCCTAATTTAAGGATTGTCATATTGGAGAGCGATGACGAATCTCCTAACCAAGATGGAAAACATGCACCACCATAGCACTTGATTACAAGTTCTTTCAAATTGCTATGAGGTTTTAGCATCTCAAGAACATGTCTTTCTACTTCCTCATTCGGTGAGCCATCGGATTGAGATCCCCATTCCAGCAACAATATTTCTAAATCTTTCATATTTTTTAGTACGGGCTCTCTAATTTGGTTGTGATGACTAACGTTCTCTAATTTGGAAATGTGAAGCTCTCCTTTAAGAAATCTTAAATTCCTCAAATCATTCAAATTGAAATTCTTTTCTTTGACCACAATAAAATTAGACAACATTCGGAGGTTTATCAACTCTTTCATACCAGGCGGCATCCCTTTCAATGACCTTGCACCTTTAATATCAATATGACATAGATTGGTCAAATATCTCATCTTTGAAGGTAACTCCAAAAGACGAGAACAGTCTTTTAGTAGCAAAATTTGCAAGTTAAGTAATGAGCTTGTTGACTCAGGCAAACTTTTGACCATAGTGTTGGACAAATTGAGATACTTCAGATGTATCAAGCCTCCAATTGAATTTGGTAAATGTGTGATGAAGTATCTTTCTAAAGATAGCACTCTTAACTTCTTCAAATGCCGCAATAAATTAAAAATAATTGTAGCATCTATGTACTCAGGGTTATACTGTCTATAAGGACTCATAAATACTGGAAAGAATGTTCTTAGGCTTTTCAATTTTTGCAAGTCCTTGAACATATTTTTTCCATCATGGTGTTTAGAAATATAAGAAAAATGACGAGTCCTTTCAAAATTTTTTGGTAGCATAGAAATGGCTTCCTCTGATCTAAAACCAATTTCTCCAAAAACAGATTGTGCTAGATCATGAACAAGGTCATGCATTACATATTTAAAATTATTGCTACTTGATTTTTGAAAAAGAGACCTGGAACATAAATGATGAAAATACTCACTAGCCAAATTTAGGTGCTCATCTGATTGTTGAATAATGCCTTCTCCCATCCATAAAAGCTCAAGTTCCTCTTCGTTGAACTCATAATCTTTGGGAAAAATTGCACAATAAGCGAAACATCTTTTAAGATGTGGAGGAAGATGACGGTAACTTAACCTTAACACGGGAAGGATGTCATCTCCGTTAGTTGAATCCCATACTCTGTTGTTTAAAATATTCTCCCATGCATCAACTTTCGGTTCATAGTGCAGAAGACCACCTAGAGTCTTTGCTGCCAGCGGCAATCCTCCACACTTTTTAACAACACGTTCACGAAATTTCCCAAGAGCATTAGTATCCATACCAGTCGAAGGTGCATGCTTCATAAACAAATTCCAACATTCATCATCTGAAAGAGTCTTTAATTTATGAGTTTCAAAGGATCTCATTGTTACTGCAACTCCTTCATTGCGTGTAGTCACAATTATTTTACTTCCCCGTGCACTATCTTTGAATGGAGACTTGAAGGTTTCCCACAAACTCTCTCTGTCATTCCAAACGTCATCTAAGACCAGCAGGAATTTTCTTCCACGTATTTTCTCTTTCAACTTACCTTGTATTTCATTTAAACTATTTAGACTGCTGGATGAGGGATTTATGGACTCGAGAACTGACTTCGAGATTCTCATAACATCAAAATCGTCAGAGATAGAAACCCATGCTTTTTTCTCGAACTTGAGAAGTTCCAATTCCTTGTCATTGTAAACCTCCCGAGCAAGTGTTGTTTTGCCGAGTCCTCCCATGCCCACAATTGCTATCACACCAAAGTTGGCTTCTATTGGTTTATCACTTGACACCATCTTAATTATTTCTTTTTTGTCTTCACCTCTCCCATAAACAGCTTCTTCAGTTGGCAGACTGGAAGTGGGTGGTCTTGGATCTACTCCTTGTTGAGTAGATGCAGCAGTACTTGATGTCCCTCCAGAAGTCTCGTGCATCAATCCAAGTTCAACTCTTTCTTTATAGAGCTCTTCGAATCTGCCATTGATATCTTTCATCTTGGATCGCATACTGAAATCAAACTTCATAGCGTGAGGAGTGAAATTATTGAAACAAGAAGGGGTATCAATGGAGTTCTGACGTGAAACTTCATAGGAAAACTCTTCCAGTAAATCCTCTACATCATAAGCCAAGTCTTGGAGATCATCGAGCCACAGTTTCACAGCCTTGTTGGTTAGTTGCTTCTCTTCTGCAGAGCTGAGTACCGCCTCAATCTTAAGTAGCTTCCTTTCCCACTTCTTGAGCTTTGAACGAACCCCTTCTTCATTTGCAAAATAATTGAACAACTCAGGGGAAGATAGTTTTTCAAACAACAAAGGAAGGGTTGCAGAGAGCAAAAGTTCAGCCATGGTTTTGGTAATCAAAAGAAAAGATGTGAACGATCTGAGTTTGAGAGCAAAGCAAATAGAAACAGGTTAACTTTTGTGTAAAGGATGCTGCAAATGAACTCTTAAGATACATGAAAGTTACAGGCCTTTGTGGCTACAATACTTACTAATTCAGGGTGGGGAACCACTTGACCAAGGCATTTAAGAAAATTTTAACTCTATTTATTGAAAGTTACAGGCCATATTCTTTATTAAAATATTTTCTATAGTCATTGAATTTATTAAAATATTTTCTGTAATCGATAAAAATTACCATTCATCTCCAGTACCTCAAGCTGTATGAGGTAAAATCAATAAATAAGATTAGATTTTTTCGCTCCAACTTTTGTACTGATGATCAATCCAATTCATTGCATATTAATATTTCAATTTAATTATATGATTTTTTTTTTTTTTTTTTTTTTATTTCAGCTGGGCATGCAACTCCTCTAGAGCATTAAGTTTAGTAATTGTAATTCCAATTCTTGGATATTCTCTCATGGGATACGGATCAATAAGCTTGATTTACGGCTATATTATGGTCTTTGATTTCTTAAGATCTATGGGGCATTCCAATGTTGAAATTATTTCGCATAAATTTTTCGAGTCCCTATTGATTCTTCATATCTTCTATGCCCCCATGTAAGTATTTTCATTTCTCACAAGCAAGTACCTTGATTTAATGCATTTCAAGGCTCTTAAGTTTCATGTAATCTTACAGTTTTATTCACCTAAATTTAGTTTAAGTTTCTAAATTGAGCATTAGATGATCTTATGGTTAAAATGGACCAACCCCGAGTAATAAACCCTAATTTGATGTTGATATAAGTACTTTTCTTAATCATTATCTTGTTTTTGTCCAATGATATGAAGCTAATTTTGTACATTATTATCCATTTTTATATAGTTAATTATTTTTGCGAGACACATTTTTTTAATAGCATTATTTCACCCATACGGTTAAAATGGCAGCTAGAAAATTAAATGGAAACCAATTGAAACATCCCAATTACTAACAAACAAAACTTAAATGATTTTGTTTTCCTCGTACATGTGGTGGATGTGTCTTCATTTCTGAAATTGGTTGTTGGAAGAATTAAATTTTATGCAGCAAATGAAAGTGGACCTTTTATGGCTTCACTCTATCATATATGCCAATGTACCGGATTTTGTTTTCCTCGCACATGTGGTGGATGTTCAATCTTCTATGCACGTGCCATTTGTTTTCCGAACTGCGTCTTTAACTCTTCATTGCCCTGCAGAACTCTCTCCTTTTGACTCCCATTTTGGCCAGTTGCTTTCATGTATATGGTTCTCATGTGGGTGTGGGCATGGTCCAAAACTTTCTTAGTCTCCTTTTTCTATCTCAGAGGTCGATTGCACCAAAATTTGGCTGTGCCTCGATACGGCTTTCACGTAAACTTCCTAAATTTGTGCTAATCTTATTGAGTATTATCGAAACTTTTGAATGAATTATGTTTATTTATTTATTTGTGTATTTTTACAGTATTTCTTGCCATTTGCAACAGAAGGCATCAATAATCTGGTTGAGCAGGCGATTTTAAGGGCTGATAGACTAGAGGTTAAAGTCATTAGCCTTGCTGCATTGAATAACGTCTGTAAATAATTAACTATTTCAGCTGGTTTTCTGAAATGGGTAGTTGGAAGAAATAAATTTTATGCAGCAGTCAAATGAAAGTGGACCTGTTATGGCTTCACTCTATCACATATGCCAGTGTGCCATCATTGATTGTCCTTCAAAATCAATCTCTATCTCCTTCAATCGCCTGTGCTTAAATTTGGTAAATTCATTTAGCAATATTAAGTTTATTTGTATAGAAAGTATTAATTAATTGTTGAGAATTGAATACCTAAGCCTACCTTGAATAACTTTATTAAATTTGTTCCTAAGAAAAGGCCACCATGTTCATATAAGATTGTTTAATATTAGTCGTTGATGAAAATCCCATCCATTAACTGGCATTTGCCTTATTCTTTCCTTCTGAATCAGATGCATATGGGAGGTCCCTCATCTTTTACTTGAAAATTTGTGCAGATGTTGACTCTACCGACTGAAAGATTTCAGAAAATTCAAAAGGAAGGTCCTGTGGAATGTCAAAATTACCTTGTTCAAGTAACAAAATACCAGGCAGCAAGAAATTGCAAGGCGAGTTATAATAATATTCATAATAACATCAGACTTGGATAGTGGGCTAGTGGATCAGACTCAGAGAGCAAAGTTGGGCTCCGTCTAGAGCCCATTTTCATCAATTGGTGGCACCACCAATCCTTGTCGGACCGGGACGTCAACAATCAATTTTTTTTTTTTTTTTTTTTTAAATAAATTACAATGTAATCTCTTAAATTTTAGTATACTACTAAATACCCTTGGAAATTATAATTAATCCCTGAAAATTTGATATATTTAAAAAGTTCCAATTTAGTCCCTCAAGTTTTGAAATACTGCAAAAACCCCTAAAAATTACAGTTAGCCCCTACAGGTTTAAAATATAACAGAATCTCCCTAGAACCTGAACTGGGCCAGAGAGGCTGCCAGTTCCCGATCTAACCGGTCGGCCTGCTCCAGTTTTCAGAACACTGGTTTTTTGTGATTAACAAAGTTCGGCCTAGTTTTTTGCTTATTTGGGCCTATTGAGAAACAGTGTTATTATTTGAGTCCACCAAAGTCTAATTAAGCTCCATTATTAATTTTATAAAGTTTAAAATTATATTGGATATACAAAATTACCTCCTGGATTGCCTCTTTTTCTTTATAGCTATACTGCTCACTAGCTTCATGGAGTTTTTCAGGTTTTTTTTGGTAATATATGATTAGATTTTAATCACAATTAATATGTAGAAAAAAAAATTAAAAAGAATTTAGTTTCTAATTTAATTCAAGTTGCTAAGAACTTTATAACACTTTCCTTGAATATTAAAAATTCATTTAAATTTTCCACTATTTTTTTATTTATAAATTTAAGGCTTTATGTTTTGGAGGGTCAAACATTGAGCCGACTGTATTACTTTTAATTATTAGTCTTATAATATTATTGAACTAATATAAGCAATTCTCCGATATGGCACAATAGAAATATAGTATTGATTTTTTATTTTTTTTTGGGGCATGTGTAGCTTATGCTTATCTATGTTTCAATTGGATATATTGCATGCACTTGCATTATTGGACTTGCTCAAAAAGGAGGAAATGTAAAGGGTGAAAAGATGATTAAATCCTTGACTTAACATTAGCTATAAAAATGTCAAAGGACCTAGAACATAAATTTACTTAGAATTTCATATGGAATACGAAGATCATAAATTTATTTTGTTGTGTAATCTCCACCATCCATTTCAAACTGTATAGAGATTACGGGACAATAATAAATTCTTGGCAAAAATTTTTGGATCCAACGAAATGTGTAAGTGACACTACAATCTTTGTCAATCTTTGTTAGTTACGTATGATGATTAATTTTGGGCACTAGATAGAGCATTAATGACTTGTTATAATAAATATTACAATGACTTCGTAAGATATGAAAAATAAGGAAGGTAGAAAAACAATCATACAATAAATTTAAATGGTTCAACAAACCCTTACCTACATTCGCAGATGTAAGTCAAATGACTAAAACAGAGAATGATAGTATAAGTCTAACATGCTCACGTTATGGCAACTAACATGTTGTCTTTGATTTTTTAAGAAATTTCCCAAGTAATTATAATCATCAATAGTTTCAGAAAAATTAGACTATTTATAACGTTTTCAAATTAATTAACTTGACCAAGACTTGCATATTATGGTCCACTATTACCTCATAAACCTTATTATTATTATTTTTTTATGCTATTCAAAATCATTTTTACAATAAAGTAAAAATTTAATAGATGAAGAAGATTCGTAATTACAAGAAATGCAAAATTAAAAGCTTTTAATTGCTTCACATATAAATTTATGGTTATTTTTTGTTTAAAGTATTGGTAACTATTTTAATCTATATATATATTTTATGTTGTTTAATTGTATTATGTTATTGAGAGTATTTATAAGAGTTTTTTTCAGTTTTTTTTTTTTTTTAACTTTCAATTCAATAATCTAATATTTTATTTTATGAATAATAATGGTGGAGTATATAGTATAAGTGAAAAGTATGAGATATTAATTTTTTTCGTAATATAAAAAAACAAAGAATGAAGAGCATTTATGAAATTTATTAGGTGATCATGGATGGAGCTTCATAAATCCATCAGTATAGTGTCAATCACTTTATTCAAAATAAAGAAATAAATAGATAAGAGCCAACCTAACCAGGCAGCAAGGCCCACACAGCCTGAGCCTCAACCCCTGAAGCTAAAATTTAATACTCCGTGCGGGCCTTCATAACGCAGCCCAGTTCAATTAAACAAAACTGGCAGCCCAACAATTCCAGCACGTGGCTGTGAATCACAAAGACGCAAACTATCAACAAAATATTATGTGATTAAAAATCACAAATCAGAGATTACCCCCTGAGATAATGATGCGGCATAATTAATTAATGTGCAATTAAACTCGTATTCAAACCGCAATTGAACTGGTTTGCCAAACAAAATCCTGGGATTGAATTATGAATTTAATCCCATCAACAAAGCC